CTTTCTTGGCTAGGGTGTGGGTAGGAAAAATGAAGATAGAAAATATTTGATAAATAAATATATACATTTATAAAATTGCATCAGTATAATGATGGTTATACTGTGATACAAATACATTTATACTAAATGTCTTAACTATTATGAAATCTTCCTTATCCAAATGTTCAAAGAATTCACATTTTAATAAGCTTGAAAACTGGGCATCATTGCTTGTTACTATGGCTGCAAAGACTCCAAGATTAGTATTAATAATTTTCAGTGAAAAAGGTTTTGATTAGTTCACAGTGAGTCAGCTGGAAGTGTAAAATTAGATTTGTCAATATTTCATCTTCTGCTAAAGTTCAGGCTATATTACTCATAGAATCTTTACATAAACATACAATAATTTATTAATTAATCTAGGCATATTAAATTTTAAGTCAGAAAACAAACATAGGTATTCTACTGCTTTCTGTTGCATTTTACTTTGGAACTGCTTTTGTTTTAGTAACATTTTAAGTCTTTTATGCCGAGTAAACATGAAAGAATTGTAGTCTGTCTACAGTCATCTCTATAGATTTCTAGGTGACACATTTGTACTTTGCAAGTAGCAGTGGTATCTCTCCTTTAGATTGAGTAAGCTTGGAAAGAGGAAAAAGAATAGAAGACAGTCAAGCAGACAAATATTGTTGGCTGGGCATGAATAGAAGTCTTTATCTCAGAAGGAAGCTAACCTGTTTGCATGAGTATTTGAAAGGCAGCTTATGATACTATAGATAGCTTATGTTGCTTCATTTCTTTGAGATGATGAATGATGGTGGTAGCTTTTTCTGTTTTTGAGGTGATTGATCAATTGTGTATATATTTGGAAAGGAAATGAGAAAAAATGAAGGACAAAATGACTATATAAATGAAACTGAGAGGATGCAGCTTCATCCTCCCAACCACATTCCTTCTAGGAAATGTGACCTTTGATTTATTAAAAAAGGATTCTCCCTGGATAAGGAAAGAAGGAATGCAAAAATAAAAAATAATACTAAGTAATGAATATGTCAGGCTATCCTTTCTTCAAATCTTATCTTACACAAAAAGCACAGGATAATTTAAAGGCTGTAGTGATTCACAATGTGAAATAAGGTTTCAACAAAAAAAAAATGATGTTTATTCTTTATATTTTTCTTTCCAGTCTTTTTTGTTTTGTTCCTTAAATTCATTTTAGAATCAACTTACATCTAGAACCTTAATGGTACTGTTTTTATTTCTGCTATCACCTTAAATTTTATTTATTCTTATGACATATTCATTAGAAAATTGGTTCAACAGAAAGTTTAGGATTAAATGCAAATTTTGTTGATCCGTGAGCAAAATCAATGATGATGGATGGGTTGTGAGCTATTCAGCTTCTAACAGTATTATAAAAATCAACCATTTCATTACAAAAGTATTTTCTTTAGGCTTTTACTAACAGTGGTAAAATGGCAGTAAGGACTAATTTGAGTCTCAAGATTCATAGGCTATTGAATGAAGACTGGCTCCACTTTATTGTTGAGTGAATGAGGGAAGTGTCTATCTGAGCTGTTTCCAAATGTTATCTTTCCATGGACTTACAAAATGCTTCAGAAAATATCTGCCTATCTCTGTCAATGTCATCTTCCTTACTTAGGGTCTGCTGTTGCTGCTCCAGTAAGGCACCAGCCTAGGAAGCAGAAGAACCTGAGTTCAAGTCCTGCCTTAGCCCTGAAAGCCAGCTGGTAACTTTGGGCCAGTTATCCTCTCTCAGACCAATCCACTGTGTTAGATATTCCCCCTGACTGACAGAGGTTTCCACCAAGGTCATCTGTTCCAGCGGGAACAGAGGTTTAATCCCATTGGTCAAAAGGACTGACAGATGCCTTTAAAAGGGGATGCTGCCCAACCCTTCCTCAGCTGGATGTTTACCTGAACTTGCAATAAAGAGCTGTTGTTACTGGAGCCTTTGTGTGCCTTCCTTTACAAGATCTAACACTGGTGACGAGGATGGAATTGGAAGGCAACTAGGCGAACAAAAAGAGCAAACGTGATCCTGCAAGTACATCCAGCCCTGAGCACCCTGTGCAGCATCAAGCAAGCCATCGCTGAATGACGAAATTGAATCAGGATGGCTATGCACGCTCCACCAACTCCGTATGATCCAGCCACCGAGCACTAGGAATTGTACATGCTACAATTTGAATGTTTCCTTGAAGCAAACTATCTCCAGAAGACCTTAAGAAGAACATGTTGCTCGGTTACTGTGGCCAGAAAGTGTTCGAAACAGCGAAAAACCTCTCGGAATCAACCCCACTCCAAGCAGTGTCTGCACTACAACAAACGCTGAAGACCCACTATGCGCCCAAGCCGTCCAAATACGTTCACCGGCATGAATTTAACATCCGAAACCAGATGGAGTGCGAATCTATCAATGAGTATGTGGTGGCACTCCAGAAAGCCACAGGCTACTGTGAGTTCTGAGACCTGTATGAGATGATTTTGGACCACATAATTTGCAGTGTGCAAGACATTACTCCGCAGAGGAGGCTACTCGCTAAATCCAACCTCTCTCTGCAGATTGCACTAGACGAGGCTAGGGCATCCGAATCCATGGAAGAGTACCTACGTACATTGCAAGACTACCAAGCTCGAGCGCTCTGAAAGTGAGGAGAACAACAGCTACCGTATGTGCAGTAGCTGCACAAAACTGGCGCGAAAATTCAAGTTGCAAGTTCCGCCCTGCGCCAGCTGTGGAGGAGACCATGCCCGATCATCCTGCCATTTTTGTGAAGCAACTTGCCAGCGATGCGAGCGGAAGGGGCACATTGCCAAGATGTGCCACAGCGACTTTCCTACTGCCATCAGACAGCCCAAAAGTTCACAAAGCTGCCGACAGCAGCCCAAACCAGGGACTTGGCAGAAGTACCCACGGTGTCAGAAGGCGACAATAGGATCACCAACCATACGTCTATTACACAAATCCACGCCAGGCACCCCAAAAAGATGAATGTCACAGTCCTCATTGAGGACTCTCCATGCGAGATGGAGATTGACACCAGCTCGTCACTGACCATAATTCCATGGTTAGTCCTCAAACAAGTGATCCCAAAGCTACAGAAGTGACACCTTCAAAACCCTGACATCCGCCTGCGTGATTACCAGTGGGCCAAGGCACTTTCTGGGTGAACTACAAACAATTCTACGAAAACCTCCCCATGACGGTGGTCAGTGGAAACCTTCAAAGCCTCCTGGGGCTTGATTGGTTCCAAACATTGGGGATGGAAATGACTGGAATCAACTCCGTGAGGGAAAATGGCGCTGAAGCCATCTTTAAGGAGTTCGAGGATGTTTTCGGCACTGGTCTCGTAAGTACAAAGGAACCCCAATTTCCTTTAGCTTGGACCCCAAAATAGCCCCAATTAGGCTAAAACCTAGGAGAGTACCTTTCGCTCTCTGTCCTAAAATTGACAAAGAAATTGATAAGCTTGTAAGCCAGGGCATCTTAGAACCAGTTGATCATGCATGCTGGGAGACGCCAATTGTGACACCTGTCAAGTCTGATGGGTCTATCCGCATCTGTGAGGACTATGTGCACAATTAATAAGTTGTTACAAAGCGCCTACCCTGTACCCATTGTACAGCACCTACTACATTCGCTCGGCACAGGAAAAATCTTTGCAAAATTGGAAATGGCACATGCAATTACCAGTAGATGGTGCTACCACGGAGGCCCAAACCATTGTGATGCACAGGGGTGCATTCAAATGCCACTGCCTGCAATTTGGCGTTAGTATCGCCCTGGACTGTTCCAAAGCGTCATGGAACAACTTTTGCAGGGGATTCCAATTCCTATTCCTATTTCAACGACATCGGCTGCAAATGAGGCACAACCTTTAAAACACATACGAACAGTTTTGGTCAGAATTAGAGACAAGGGTCTCCGCCTCAAAAAAGAAAAATGTCAGATTAATGTACCAAAGGTTGAATTCCTAGGGTACCTGATCGATGGGTCTGGAATCCACCCGACCTCACAAAAAATTAAAGCTATTAAGGACGGCCCCACATCTAGCAATCAGACCGAACTGCAGGCATTCCTCGGGCTCCTTAATTTCTACAGTGTCTTTCTCAAACAGAAAGCCACAGTTGCTGAACATTGCCTCCTAGCCAAGAACGCGAAATGGTCCTGGGGCAAAGCCGACACCGCCACATTTGCCACAGTAAAACAACTCTTGTCAGCGGATTCTTTCCTAGTACAATACAGCCAGACCCTGCCATTGGTACTGACCTGTGATGCCTCCCCCTTTGGTGTCGGTGCTATTCTCAGCCACTGCATGCCCAACAGAACCGAAGCCCCTATTGCATTTTACTCCAGAACATTGTCCACTGCAGAGTGGAACTACAGCCAATTGGACGTGAGGCTTTGGCTGCAGTGGCTGGAGTAAAAAGATTCCACGAATATTTCTACACCTGGGACTTTGAATTGGTTATGGACCACAAGCCCTTGTTGGGCTTACTGGCCGGGGATTGCCCCCCCCCCAGTATCATTATCTCCCCGCATGACTAGGTGGACTATTTTCATGGCTGCCTACCCCTACCACCTCATTCACCGACCCGGCTCCACTTTAGGGCATGCGGATGCTTTGAGCTGCTGCCCATTGCCTGAAGTTCTCGCGGACACCACCCCCGAGATGCTGGTCTTCCTCATTGACTGCCTGGAAACTGGACCCATCTCATCTAGTGACGTTGCACACCACTCTGCAAATGACCCCAAAATAAAGCAAATTTTGAACTGGGTGTGGAGGGGGTGGCCCAAGGGGCCTATTGGAGCTTATTTCAAAATGTATTTTGCCAAACGCGATGAATTGTCAGTTATTAATGGGTGTTTGCTGTTGGGGGACTGGGTAGTTATTACCAACAAACTATGTATTGCAGTATTAGAAGCATTACATGTAGGGCATCCTGGGATCGTCAGGATGAAGTCTCTGGCAAGGAGCTATGTATGGTGGCCTAACATGGACAGAGAAATCGACGAATGGGTGGCCACATGCACACCCTGTCAGGAGTCCAGACTGGCTCCCCAAGAGGCACCCGATAAAGAGTGGGAGCGACCACAAGCACCATGGTTCAGGGTGCACATTGACTTTGCTGGTCCTGTACATAGCCAAACATTCTTCAGAGTTGTGGATGCTTACTCAAAATGGTTAGAGGTAGTCCTGATGACTTCTACTACTGTGGAAGCAATCATCAAGGTACTATGGAGACTCTTCTCCACGCACGGTCTGCCCAATGTCTTGGTCTCTGACAATTGGCCGCAATTTACAGCTATGCCATTCGAGACCTTCCTAGCATCTCAGGGAATCAGGCATGCCCTGGTCGCACCATTCCATCTGGCCTCCAATGGTCAGGCGGAGAGAATGGTGAGATCTGCAAAAGAGGCCCTCACTAGGATGGGCCCAGGTGATTGGCAAATACAAATCAACCACTACTTACTGATTCAACACATCACACCCAGTTCTACCACTGGGAGAAGCCCCTCTGAGCTTCTCATGGGCTGTCACCTAAGGTCTCACCTAGACCGGCTACATCCAAATTATTCTACCTTATCACGCCCTGACTCCACAAGTAAGGTTCGATTATTATTCAGTATATGCCCACAACTACACTGGGGGAACATTGTGGATTCCTGCCTCAGTAATTGGAATTACCGGTTCTCGATCATATACAGTAGAGCTCGAGGATGGTAGAAATTGGAGAAGGCATATTGACCAACTCTGTAGCTGTATTTACTTCACGCTTAGAAAACCAACAGTAACTCCTGCACAAGCTAGTCAAAGCCTCACAAAACAAAATAGCAGTACTTCCATGTCCAACTCAAACCCGAGAATATTGGAAGACTTATCTGACTTTGATGCAGGCCTGAAGCAAGCTCCGAGTGAGTTAACTCCAGAAGCTCCAGTCGTGGCCTGTGAAAAGTTCCAGCAGTTTCCATCAGGTAGAGCTGTGGAGCAAACAAGTCCGTCCGACTTGTCGGAAGGAACCACTCACACTGAACTGCGCAAGTCAGGCAGAGCTATGCAAAAACCCACCTACCTGCGTGACTACGTCACCAGTTGGTTTGATCTATCCTAGAGGAAAGGGGTGTTAGATATTCCCCCCCCCCTGACAGAGGTTTCCACCAAGGTCCTCTGTTCCGGCGGGAACAGAGGTTTAATCCCATTGGTGAAAAGGTCTGACAGATCCCTTTAAAAGGGGATGCCGCCCGACCCTTCCTCAGCCAGATGTTTACCTGACTTGCAATAAAGAGATGTTGTTACTAGAGCCTTTGTGTGTGCCTTCTTTTACCCAATCTAACACACTGTACATAATTGTTGTGGAGAAAACAGGAGGAGGATATGTGTTGAATATTCCACCACTTTGCATTATTTGTAAAAGTAAAGGCGGGATACAAATAAATAAAAAAATGGGAAGTTGACTTCCTCTATCAAGACAAACTTGTTTTAATCAGATGTAATTTCTTTTACATATAGTAAATGTTTCTTGTCTTCTTTTGATTTTTAGATTCAACAACCATTAAGGGGTTCCATTTCCATCTTTGCTCCTTCAAACTAGTTTTTTTATGTAGCTTCCTGTCAACTTACTTAGCAGTGATTCCCAATGAATACAGTGGGATTGTTCCCATACTAGAAGATAACAGCTTCAATCTGTGTAGATGACAAACAAAAATACTGGTATTTTCTACCACAAGAGACCAACCAAAGATATTTTGCTGCTTGAAAGAAAGAACAAAATGTATCTCTACCACAGGAATTAAACAGACTACCAGCTACATAGTTGTCAATACCGGCAAGTGCCTTAAGCTGCAAGATAAATGAAGGACTGGCTACATCATACAGCTTTAGTTCTTTAATGGGCTTCTATTCAACAGTGTTGGTTGTGCCCTTGCCAAAGAGATAAATGCCATTAGAAATCAAGAAGAACCAGGTTAACATCACCTACCATACACATAGATATATAGCAACATCATATTGGATGTTAAAGTTTCATTTTACCCGAGGAACATAAAGAAAGGGGGGAAGAACATATGCCATGTTTTTATTGAGCTTCAGTCATAAAAAATATGCGTTTCCAGAATAGCTAAATGTTGGTTTCTATTATTAGTGTGTAAAATCAGTGCTTGCTTCCAATTTTTCAGGTGTTCTGAGTGAAGATGCTCTCAGCAATTTCCCTGAGTAGTGCATCTCTTTGTCATCATTACACCTGTTATTGACAAATCAATTGGCCAATGTTTCTAAAGCACAAAGCACTGCTGACAAATTATGGTATATATTACTGAAGATGAAACAGTAGTGCTGTGTTTGATGTTGTGATGATGTTATAAGAGCCTCTAAAGTCCCTACAAAAGTAATCATGGGAAAACAAAATATCTTTCTGGGTCTGTTTCAGAATTCATTTCTATATATGTGAAAGTGTATTGTTATTGTTCAGCAAATATTCTAGACTGACTAGCTTTTTATAACCATCTCCAGGCTTGTAAAACTATTGGTGACACCTGTTTTTATCTTTAAGCGAAAAATCTTTTGCTGCTTTCTTTTTCATGTCTATTTTATATTCCTACTTATCAGTTTGGCTTCCCAATAAAATATAATTATTTTTTATTAGTTTGGTTTCATGGATATAATCCATATCAGAGTGTATTAGAAGACAAACAGATATTGTGTTCTTTTATTTGCTTGTGTTATCCTTTAGAGACTTGAAGAAGGCAAGTAGGTAAGAAAAAAAATTGTGACTACATAGCTGTGACTACACACTTTTTTGGGTGTGTGGTCTGTGGCAGGTCTCCAGTGAAGCTTATCTTAGCCCAACTTCAATTTTAGATACAACTATGACATCACAAACTTCTATTGACTTGCCTTTCCATCCCTTAATACTTCTGATTCTGTTTTTAAAAAATGTAATAATTGCATGTAGAGTAGGGGTGTTCAACCTTGCTGGCTGGGTAATTCTGGAAGTTGAAGTTCACAAGTCTTAAAGTTGTCAAGATTGGACACCCCTGATTTAGGATATGGCATAACAGGCGGGAAGCATGTTAGTTGTTGGTAACCTAAAACAGCAGGAATTTGGTATTAACTTTTTCAGATTAACACATTATATTTAAGAGCTATTCCTTTTGGGATGGGTCAGGTTACAAAAATGATTCCTTAAATTTGACTGAAAGTGTAATTTGTTGATATAGGTCGCCATATAAGAATCTTAAAGGCCTGGTGGGAGAGGAGGAGCCAATGTCACGATGAGATGACATGCAATCTCAATGCTCTGAGATCGCTGCTGATACTTTTGCCACTGGGTGGTCCAAATGGACTTAAACCGTCCCGCAGAGATGGTGAATGGGAATAATATGTTCTGCTGATCTCAGGGACATCGCAAAGTCCCTGATAAATCCAGAACAAGTTCTTCTAGCTGGTGACAAAAGCACAGACCCTAGGCTGATGAAGTTGGGGCAGCTCCGAAATTGAAGGATACGGAAAGAGAAAGTATTTTCAGTTGGTGAGGATTTTTTACCATTTTAAAAGAGACTGCCTATAAAAAACTTAAAGTTAATTTAAATTTGAGAACAGAAGAAATAAGTGGCGGAATTAAGCTTTGAATGGTTTTGGACAGTGGGTTATCTTATTTTTAAGTGCTATTTTCATGGATGGAATTTATGCAAGCCTTTTAAAATGAATGGATTAAGTTTTCTTCTTCTATCTTTTTTATTGCAACCTATGGACTAAAATTATCCTTCTTCATTACTGCATGTGTTTTTCCTTTTTCTTCTCTATTTCATT